ACAACGCCAAAAAAACGTATACAAACGTCAATTTTCATTTTCTAGCACAAACCGCTCTTATCTATGGACCGCTCTTATCTATGGGATTTTAGGGTATTACAGTTTCGTGGTCATTGTAGAACATCAACATCTTAACCCACCTACGTGCCACGCACTAGATTGTCTTGATTTTATCCTTTACTCAACAATTCCTACTTTAAATCACGATAATGCCATTCTCCAAAATACTTTTATAAAATAGAATCAGGCTTCAGAGCTTCTCAAGAAGATGATTGACAAGCTATTGGTGCTATTCTTCATTCTACAAAACGTATCAGGTTTGTACTTTCTCTCCTTTCCACTGCTGTACAAGTGCGTGATAGCGTGAGGCATTGTTCACAGTCGCCAGGCCCTGACGAAACGGCGGTTGGGAGAAAAGCAAAAAATAGTCATCGATCGGAGAATCGCCCAACCGTCCAACCGCCGCGGTTGGGCGGTTGGGCGAAAAGCAGTAGATGTGTATCGATTTCGCTGGCGAAAAACGCCACCGCGATGGAGCTAGCGTTTTGTCGAAGGCGAAAAACGTCGCGGTTTGGCGAAACGCCCGTCGATACGTACCAAAACCCTTTCGCCCAACCGCCAGGCTCTTCGCCCAACCGCCAGTCGATATGTATCGAAAGCTTTTCGCCGAACCGCCGCGTTTCAGAGAAACGCTGGACCGCAGAGTGTGAACAATGCCTGATAGAGATGATCTTCTCACCAAAAGCAAACCGCGCGCAAAACTCCGTGTGCCACTATTTCTCTCTTTCGCGCCTGAACTGGGCTGTAGGGCAGTGATACCCGGGTGGTGTCTCTATACTCCACTCGTGCTGCTGTATGCCCGGCCACCACAGCCTTGCTTGTCTGCGCCCTTTCGCATCTGATGTTCCTTATTAGTGAGTAGTAGAAGTACAAGTAGTTAGTATAGATGCAAGTGCTGCATCTTGATGGTATGGAGACAGCACTAGGGCATTACTTCTTTAAAACCCGTTATCGTGCGGGAAAAGTGAAACGCTGCAGTAACCGTGGATTTGCCTCGCACATAGGATGAACGAAAACCCGTTTTTTTAGGCCGAAGTATTGGAAACGGTGTTGACGCAAATGGTGGAGCAACAGGGAATCGGTGGCGGCATAGGCAGCGGTGTTGCACCCAACGGCTTCTCAATTGGAAGCGGAGTACGTCCAACTGGAAGTCCTGCAATGGATGGTGGCCAGGGCGGCATAATCGGAGGAGGCGTAAGGCCACGGGAGGGATCCTCAGTTGGAGGAAATATTCGTCAAGATAGAGCAGCTATAGGAGACGGGCGTACGTCAACCCGAGAGTTCGATCGGAGACGGAGTTCAGCAAAACGATGGCTCCATTGGAAGTGGAGTTCATCAACAAAACGGTTTGATTGGCGATGGTGTAACCGTGCGTCGAATTAGATCGATAGGAAACGGCGTTCAAGCATCAGACGGTTATCCAACCCAAGTCATCTATTGGAAGTGGTGTTCATCAAAGCGGTACATCCATTGGAAGTGGAGTTCATCAACAAAACGGTTTGATTGGCGATGGTGTAACCGTGCGTCGAATTAGATCGATAGGAAACGGCGTTCAGCATCAGACGGTTATCCAACCCAAATCGTCTATTGGAAGTGGTGTTCATAAGGGCGGTACGTCCATTGGAAGTGGAGTTCATCAACAAAACGGTTTG